GGATTGCTCAGAGAAGGGGTCAGCTGGAAGCTGTGGAGTGTGAGGTGCTTTGCGGGAGTGCCAACCTTGTGCCAGCAACCCAGAGAGTCGAGAAACATAAAAATGAGGAGGGAAAGGGAGTTAGAAAATTCAGACTGGTCCAGAAGGGAGAGTGTTAGTTGCGTTTCCCCCTTACCCTGTTAAAGTAAAAGTGGCAAGGGTATTAGTGATAGCTAACAAATGATAGCTAACAAACGTTTGTCACCGAACACCACCAGCATGCCAGCTGAGTACAAGGCATACGATGGGACCTAAGGAAAGTACAGCATGATGCAGGGTCTTTCCCCTGAATGATTCTTTAGTGTTTCCGGAATACACCATAAAACAGTTAATCAGGGAAGTAATCATGCAAAGCACAGGGTGTTTCTGGGCCAATAAAGTCATCAGTGCCCAGTGGAAGAGGCAAGGTGGAAGGTGTCTCCAGCCCTATATCTCAGGCCTACGGAGACCGGTGTGTGTTTTCCAACTGCCGGGGGGTCCTAGGGCACCAACAGCTCCCAGGCAGCAGAAAGGGGGTTGGGAGGGAATGTCTGATGCCAGGCACCAACCCAGTTGCAGAAACTTCTCTCATGCTCCCATTTACACCAAAGGAAAGTAAAAGGAAAGTGATTCCTTTCCCATCTTCCTCTGCATGGGGCCCCAACTTGTAGACATGTTGACCAGACTGATTCCTGCTGTCCTGATATTTGGCCCCATGTAGTAGCCCTGCACACAGCCATAACTTGTACCGCATCCTGAAAGGGAGGTTTCCCATGGGCCTTGGAGCCAACTTGCACCAAAACTTGTGATCTGCCTGTGCCCAGTACACTTCCTGGCACACAGAAGACCCATCATAACTCTTTCATCCCCCTCCTTCAACTCCCAGTATCTATTAAAAAGCCAGGCGTCATCGATCGGCATGACACCCTGCCTGGTGATGAGGGATGGAGGCCTACCCATACAGAGCTCTATCTCCCATTGCCAGCCCGTGGGCAACCAGAATCCTGTGGTTTAAACAAGCCGATGTCAGATGGCCTGAGCAGCAGTATCTCCAGTGTTTGTTTTTGTTCTTGTTTTCAGCCATATGGGGAATACATTTTACACAGCCCTGGCAGGGAAAAATAGTCTAAACAGAGTCATCCTGAAAACTTTCTGAAAATGGAGTATTTCCAAGTGTTTATTGAAGACAAGAGGCCATTATACTGATAACTTTCAAGTTCTTATATTAACAAACACAAGTGTAAGTTCTCCATCAGTTCACGTGAAGTGCAGTGATGAGGAAGCATGGCCATTTCTCATCTCTCTCCAAAGTGTCACCCATCCAAAACCACAGAGAAAGAAGGGAACACTGAATGGTGCCCGTCCATTACATTTCACCTGCCTCTTCCCCTGAAGTGCAGAACATTTCTGGGAAAACTGCCTATTCAGATTGTTTTTTAACTAAAGCCTAGGAGGTTAAACTGCATGAAGTGTGTAGATTAGAATGATATCTGCTGTGTCTGAACGCTCTTCTTTGTCTAGACTAAAATGATCACATTTCCTCTCTGCTGGTTGTGGACTATGTGGGTGAGGCAAGGAGAGATGCGCTCCGGCTCCTCCCCATCTCCACAGCCCAGGCTGAGGGCTTAGGTGGACCCCAGCTCCAGACGCTCTGCTTTGGTGCCAGGGAGGGGGCCTGCCAATCTCTGCCCGAACAGGGCCTCTTAGTTGCCATGTACCTCCTGGGCTGGAACTTCTACCAAGGCAGTTCCAGTTGCTGAGGAGGAGTCCGGGGTTACAGGCTGCCGAGGATGCTGAGATTTGCTGGAACTAGAATCAGCTCAGCTAACTCAGCCACAGCAGTTCACAGAACAATAAAACAACTTCCTAGCCCCGGGCAAAATCGCTCTGAGAGTGTCCATTAGCATTTCCCAGCCGGTCTGCCATCTGGAACACCTCACATACCCACCCACGGGTAGGTACCCAGACTTCTGGGTCAGGCACCTGTCATCCCAGCACTTCGGGAGGCTGAGGCGGGAGGATCCCCTGAGCTCAGGAGTTCAGGAGTTCAAAGTTTCAGTGAGCCATAATTGATTGCGCCACTGCACTCCAGCCCGGGTGACAGAGTGAGACCATGTCTCAAAAAAAGAAAATAAAAGAAACCTGGACTTCTGCTGGCCTCTGTCAGTTGACTAGCACGCGACTCCTGGCAAGCAGGAAAGAGCAGAGCGGAGCGGAGAAGCAGTGGGAGTGCTCAACTCCGTTCACTCTGATGCCCAACGGCCCTTCGGCAAAATTTCACAAATTGTACCATCAAGGGATGCTGATTGGACAGGCCAGCTGGGGCTTCGGATATTAAGTGATTATGATAACAATGAAATATATAATATAGATGACTTTATTTCAGAGGATACCTTGGAGTCACCTCACCATTTCCCCTGCACGCTGCATGGTGTAGAGAACAGCTTTTTCAGTGAAAACTCTAAAGAAATGGAAACTACACTTTCATTCACAGATTCATTCAATAGGTTGTCTATTTACCATGTGCCAGGCCCAGCGGGTGACAAGGCAAATAAAATACGCTTGATGCCAACCCTCCTGGTGGCTACAGTGGTCCACTCTACATATGAGTAGAATAGAAGGATGCAGGAGAAGCAGCTGGGAGATGGGTAAGGGAGACTTTTCTCCAGTCACAATCTTGTATCTTTTGAATTTTGAATCATGTGAATGTATCAAAAAATAAATGTAAGTAAACATATTTTACAACTTTAAAAATAGGTTTTACTAGGCTGGAGCACTCGAAGTGGAAAGCAAACTAACCTTTTACTGAGCGTTTACTGTGAGCTAGACCTTCAGCCAGGTGCGGATATGTACATGATGTCTTTTAATCCACACAACCCTGAACAAGAGGCAATATCATCCTCATTTTTATCCTCTTTAAATGGAAGCTTGCCAGGTGCAGAGGCTCACATCTGTAGTCCCAGCACTTTGGGAGACCAAGGCAGAATGATCACTTGAGCCCAGGAGTTTGAAACCAGCCTGGACAACATAGTAAGACCCCCTCAGGTACAGTGCTCATACCTATAACCCTTGCACCCTGGGAGGCCAAGGTGGGCGAATCTCTTGAGTCCAAGAGTTTGAGGCCAGCCTGGACAACATGGTGAAACCCTGCCTGTACAAAAAATAACAAAAAATTAGCCAGATGTGGCACCACAAAAATGGCGATTTTGGTGAGCTGGCACGCCTATAGTCTCAGCTACTAGGGAGGCTGCAGTGGGAGGATCGCTTGAGCCCAGGAGGTGGAGGTTGCAGTGAGCCATGATCACACCACTGCACTCCAGCATGGGCGACAAAGCAAGACCCTGCCTCAAAAAAATAAAAATTAAAAATTAAAATAGCAAGGCATGGTGGTGCCTACCTGTTGTCGTATCTATTCAGGAGGCTAAAGTGGGAGGGTCACTTGAGTCCAGGAGTTCAAGAGCAGTCTGGGGAACATAGCAAGACCTTGTCTCTATTAAAAAAAAAAAAAAGTAATAAAAATAAAAATAAATGGAAGCTTTGGGAGGGTGAGGATAGTCGCCTGTCTGTCTGGGTAGTTTTCCTTGTATCATGCTGCCCCTGCTGAAGGAGGCAGCACTTGAAACGGACAGGACCAAAGAAAGTGATGAGGGTAGAGGGAGCTGTTTTCTTCAAGGGGCAGAGCCAACTTGCTCTGACACTCTCCCTCCTCCCCGTGCCTCTGAGCTGCTAGGGCCAGTACGTAGAGACACACCTCCAGTTTGCTCCAGAGGTCAGATTTGTTTCCCTCTGCCTTGCTGAGCTCAGGGAAGGAGCTTGCAATCTGGTTAACAGGTAATTGGGTGACAGCCTGAGCCAGCAGTCACTTCTGTGGCTGGAGGAAGATACCTCCCTGAGCCCCTGGCTGCCTGAGGAGAGGTGGTGCTTGCTGTGTGCTTTTCTGCTGGGTGTCAGATGTGCAGCTTTGTCTGCCAGCTGGAGGCTGGCTGGAGAATTGTTTTTCTGATTGTCTGACCCAGGTTCCTTACTTGCACTTAGAGGAAAAAGCATCCAAACCCTGGTACAAAAGGTCCTCTTTTCATTTCTTTGGAAACAGAGCAGTGAATGAGCTCATTATCAATGTAACCCAAAAAGGAGGAGGAAGGGAAGAAGAGAAGGTGGCTGTTCCCCATGGCCTAGTCCTGCCCCTGGCCAGGTTTCCTGGGGAAGGGGCTTGGATCTGGCCCAGAGTGACCGAGGCCAGATGGCTGGGACAGGTGGTCCATACTAGGGGCAGTGCTGGAGACATTGGATGGTTTCAGACTAGTTTTCTCTGCTGTGGTCCAGAGGAGGGACAGGTGTCTGCCCTTCTCATCCCCTGAACACAGAGCTCTATCCAGGACTGCTGGCCTCCAAGAAGCAAAAGACCTTCCATTCAGTTGTAATTGCCTGCCTTCCCAGAGGTTCCTATGTGCAGGCACTCTAGAAATCATCCTCACTCCCCAGAGCTGGTGGTCATACAATATCAGTCATCTGCTGAATGCTTATTATTTACCAGGCACTACCCTAGGCACTCAGGGTAGCATGGAACAAAGCCGGCAAATCTCCTCTCTCATGGAAGTTAAAGTCTAGCATGAGCAATGAAATGGCCAGGTCTGGCCTGTGATTGCTGCCTCATCCCAGTCTCTGCTGGTCTGGGAGAACTGCTGGGGAGTGAAACAGAGATGCCTCGAAAGGGAGGCTCTTTGGTATTTCTAGCAGCTAAGCTCAGACTGTCACCATCTCACTCCATTCCAAGCCAATACTTCAGACCCTGTGGGCTGGGACCAGAGAAGGCCTCTCTTAGATCTGAGCAGCAGAGTCCTGATACCTTGCAGGCTGGTGCTGGTCTGGGAAGCATCTGAAAGAGACCTGGAGGTCTCAGCCCCTAGTGGTCCTGGTGGCGAGCTGGCAATGTTTACCCCAAGCCTAACTGCCTCTCCTCTTTGTTCTTTCTTCCATTTCAGATTGAGAAAATCATGAGCTCTATCGGAGAAGGGATTGACTTTTCTCAGGAACGGCAGAAGATCTCAGGTACCGTACCAAGCAGCCATTTTCTCCACAGACCTTGGCAGTTTGGCTCCTTCCTGGCTCGGGCTTTCCTCTAACACAGAAGACACACGTTCAGTGGGTGGGAGAGGTCAGCTTCAGACCACGTCGTGCTCCTACAATTCACAGTCTCCAGTATCTAGACAGCCCCATTTTGCTATTATTTTTAGAGCAATGCCTCCTTTTACATATGGGAGGGGAAAAGGTACAAAATGAATTTTAAAGCTGCCTATTATGAAAAATTTTTAGATGAACAATCGTCACTTACTCACTATTTTATGGGCTTTCTTAGATCGGCTTAGATCGGAGTCTTCCTTAGCACTTACTGTGAGCTAGACCTTCAGCCAGGTGCTTTATGTACATGATATCTTTTAATTCACATGACCCTGGACAAGAGGCAGTATCATCCTCATTTTCATCCACTTTAAATGGAAGCTTGCGAGGTGTGGTGGCTCACATCTGTAGTCCCAGCACCTTGGGAGGCCAAGGCAGGAAGATCACCTGAGCCCATGAGTTTGAAACCAGCCTGAGCAACATAGTGAGACCCCCAACTCTACAAAAAATAAAAAATAGCTGGGTACAGTGGCTCATGCCGTTAATCGTAGCACTGTGGGAGGCCAAGGTGGGCGAATCACTGGAGTCCAAGAGTTTGCATCCAGCCTGGACAACATGGTGAAACCCCTCCTTTACAAAAAATAATAGTTGGTCTCTGCAACTTCCGAGGCGGCTCTCGTCTCATCCATGACAGTGGGAGAGCATTGGGTTAGACCAGGGGTCTCAGACTTGTAGCATGCATGTGAATCGCCTGGGAGGGTTGACTGTGCTGTTTCCTCTTCCCACAGCTCCCTGTGCCTCAGTTTACTTCGTCACTTACCATTCTTACACTATGTCACTGCTACTTTGGTCATTCTTTTCTAAGCCCTAGTAGTGAGGTCAGCTTCTGTTTCCTTTGTTTAAAACAGGGAATGGGGAGGCCACCTGAGCTGTTTTCTCTGATAATAGGATTGCGCTGTGTTGCTTTCTCAGGTGAGATGCTCTTAAAGGTGCCTCTCAAAGCAGGTCTCACGTTCCCCCAAGCATCCAAAGATGGTCTGGGCACCAGGGCATCCAGGCTGAAAGCAGCCCAGCCAGGAGCCTGGCCTCTCTCACCCTCATGGAAATGCCTCTCTGCACTGAAGGGGCGGAACTTCTTGCTCACTCGGAAGGCTCCATCCAGGATTGACCTGTGAGTCTCGAGTGGCATCTCTGGTTCTTCCATGGGCTTCTGTGGCCCTGGCAGGAAGTCATATGGGTGGACTTTGAGTGTGCGCATCAGGGAGAAAGGAGCATGGGAGATCACAGGGCCTAGTGGGGATGGCCTGGTCTCTGGAGCCTCACAGCCCTGGGTTCAAATCTTGGCCCTAGAGACATACATGTCTTAGCAAGTCACTTAATGTCTCTGCACCCTTCACCCCTCATCTGCAACCTTTGGATAATAGTGTCAACCTCACAGGTTTGCTGTGAATCAGTAGTAGATACAAATACTTCAGCTAAAGAGATATTCAGTAAACAGTAACTGTGTTTATTTTTTTTTTTTTTTTTTGAGATGGAGTCTCACTGTTTCACCCAGGCTAGAGTACAATGGCGTGATCTTGGCACTGCAACCTCCGCCTCCTGGGTTAAAGCAATTCTCCTGCCTCAGCCTCCTAAGTAGCTGGAATTACAGGCATGCGCTACCACGCCTGGCTAATTTTTATATTTTTAGTAGAGACAGGGTTTTACCATGTTGGTCAGGCTGGTCTCGAACTCTTGACCTCGTGATCTGCCTGCCTCAGCCTCCCAAAATGCTGGGATTACAGGCGTGAGCCACTGCACTGGGCCCTGTGTTCCTTTTTGTCCATGAAATCATTCCTTACTCATATCAAGAAACCTAGATGACAGAGGCTTCTGCTCCCCGGCTAGTCTCCCTCCATCAGCTTTCAGTCTTGGTTCCTGGAGCCACCATCCCCTCCGCAGCAGTGTTTCCCTGGGTTCTAGCAGAGAGGGCTGAGCTGGGCTTGGTCCATTTTTATCAGTCTCAGGTTATGCTGGAGTCTGCAGAGGTGGCTTTTCTGTCTAAGTTTGTGGATCTGTTTTCAGCGTCTGTTGCTTTCACTCAGTCAAACGATCTCATGCTCTGTTGTCGTTTGCAAGCTTTTCCAAGGGTCGAGTGTTTATAGGAAATAGATGTTCAGGACTGAGACAAACACGGTTACCATTTTCAAAGCTGTGCTTTGACGACAGGGATGGGATGGATAGCAGTCAGTTCCATGGAGGATGCTTTCTGCTTTCTGCATACAAGGAGCAGGAGCCAAAATCACTTGCATGTGCTTGAGAGCTGGGAGTCAGAAATAGCCATTGCCTCTTGGATTTGCTAAGCCAGGCGATGTGGCAGCACCTCGGGAAGAGCCCTTCCCTTGGAAGTGTGAATGCTGAGCTTTCCCTTGACGTCTGGTCTCCTGTCTGATCCCACCTACCAGTTCTTGTCCCCCATAAACCCATATGAGTGTGTTGAGAGGCAGTCTGCCTCTACTCTTCGGTTTCTGGATCCCAGGACACAGTCTTGTTTTAGTAGTCATTTTCGTGAACCATCCTCTGTAGTTCAGCTTGGGAAAGTCAGGAGCAGGCATATGTGGCGGACCACCTAAACAGAGGGTCCATCCACCTGTGCTGCAGAATGCCAGGCTGCTGTGTCTGTACCACTACTAGACTCTGAAACATAGAAAGGATGGGCTCAGGCCTGCCTGTGAACCCTGTCTGATGGGTCAGGAGAGGTATTTCTCCAGGATCTCAGGGAGTACCGTCTTCAGCTCAGACCAAAACGGAATCACTGTTTATTTTGACTGGTCAGTACCAGGGTTCAGATTGTCCTTGGGCTGGGTTTCAGGATCAGAGAGAAAAGATCTGGGCTCTGGGGTCAGCAGCCTGGGTGGAGGAAGAGCAGGCCCTCCAGCTGGCATCCCTGCAGCAAGTGTGGGATTGCCCAGCCCCGCTGGTTTTGCAGAGGCGCCCTCACCCCCACCTGAAGGGCACGACCACAGCATTAGAGTCTCAGGCCTGGTTTAGGGCCATGGGCCCCTAGGCTGCCACCACTGGAGCTAGGTAGCTGAATCCCCAACAGAAGCATTTACAGCCAACTCATCCCTGTGCCAACTGCCATTCTCAGGAATCCAGGAGGGTGACCTTTCCCACTGGCCCAGGCCGCTTTGGCTTCTGTCAACAGAGGCCTCCATCAAGCAGAAGGGAACTTGCTTGGCTGTCTTCTGATAGAGCCAGCCATGTTAGGTGTTGAGTAGCTGGTCAACCAGGATCCTTCTGGGGCCTGATGAGAACTCTTTCTTTGCCAGGGCTCATCTACAGCCTATCGGGATACCAGTATCTCCCAGCATATTTGGAGGATGACGTGTAGTCCCTGGACTTATGTCCCTGTACCTATTTTATCTTTTTTGCCCGTCTACATCTGTACTTGGGATTTGGGCCTGATTTCCCCTTGTCCTTGGCCATTGCTCTCCTCCCCCAGAGTGTGAGTGGCTTGCTCTGGGGATGGGGCTCTTCCGCTGGGCTCTGACAGGCCCGAGAGAAATCTGTCTCCAATTTGTTTGGCATACTCACCTAAGGAACATCAAGTGTAATGGCCTTATTTCATTGCCTGTTTTTATGATGCAGCACAGTCATTCCAAAGTGGCAAGTTGGGGCGAGGGGGTCACTTACCTGTGGGCTATGCCCTTTGGGGCTGGTCATTCCTTTGTTCTCTCCTGGCTGTCCTGGAAACTGTCTAACAAAGCTCTAGGAGCGTTCCCTCTCTATTCTTCCTGACAAGCTGTTTCCAGCCCCTGGAGCTGGAGGTAAAGTTTCATGTCTCCGCCCTTCATACGCATTTGTGCAGCCAACATCAGATATTGGGAAATCTGTCATTTTGCCGTGTTGCTAGTGCTGCTGTCTCCTTCTCCCTCAGCAGCCACAGCAGCAGCCACTTCTGCTCCGATGTGATGTCCGATCCCTGATGTATTTTCCTGAGCTTGGAAGGGGGAGGGTGAGGAGGGGAGGAAGGGGAGGGCCAGACATTACGAGAGTGAGCAAGGACTGTGGAGCCAGCAGCAGGCAGCGTGGAGCCCAGGAGCCTTTAGACAAAGCATTCTGCTGCGGCTCTGTCAGCGCGCACATCCTCCGGCAGCAGGCAGGACCACAGCTGCCCGGCTGGGGGATTACAAGCAAGAATGAATCAGCACCCGGGGACACTTGACTTCATGGGCATACGGGAACCTGCCGCTTAGGCTCCTGGAGCAGACTTCCCCATTCAAGGGCAGGGGAGCTCAAGTATTCCCCCAGACTTGGCATCTTGGAGTGCTGCGGCAGCGTGCATCCAGAAGGCCGCCGGGTCCCTGATACCATCTGTTCTGCAGGAGACAGAGGAGAGGGAGTGGAGGCTGGCACAGTTGGTACCAGGGTCTTGTAAATAACCGAGCAAGTTGTCATTGTCCTGCCCCAAGGGGCAGAAAGTACCTGGGAACGGCAGAATGACTTTCACCGTGTCAAGAGTTCACTGGAGGTGATGTTTTTGTAGTTGGTTCTTCTTTTCCCTTCCTTGTACCTCTTTTTCCTTCTCTTCTCTTTTTTCCTTCTTTCATCTGTTCTTGCCCACGAGAATCAGAGAAGTAGGTTGGGGTTCGGACATCCAGCTCAGAACATCCAAGGTCTGCCAGAAAGGGCCGAACTTCTGTCCTCCCTGCGCCACTACGATCCCTATCCAGACGGAGGAGCAAATAGATGTCTCCCTTCCCCACTCATCCTTGGAGGAAAACGTCAAGATCCGGAGACCCTGGGATGACTGTTGCTGTCTTCATCGCTCAGCCGAAGAGAGAGCAGCGCAGGACGTGAATAGACTTAAGCTGCCACAGCTCAGCTGACGGAGGACCACTTCCTTTTTCTATCGCTTTTATCTGGTTGGGTTTTGTCTTATTTAGCCAAGAACTGAATTTTCCTGCCTGTTCACCTGAGCAGGCAGGTGAGTCACAGGAACAGCTACTATCAGAAGACGAAAATGAATGCCCAGCCCCTGAAAACCAGCCCAACCCAAGAAGGCAGCACTTTAGACAGCGCACTGGCCCAGGAGACGCCCTGCTCGCCAGCCGCCAGAGTCTAGCTGTGGACCGGGCTCCTGGCCCGCTGGCCGCGCAGCCTGGCGGAATGCGATGCTGCCATCCCAGCAGAGCCACACCTGAGCCCGACCCCCCGAGGCCTGGCCCATGTGCCCCACTCAGCCCCTTGCTGCCTTGAACCTCTGAGTACAAAGGGCCGGTGGCCATGGTTTGCTTATTCCGGGACTGCTGGGGGAAAACAAGTAAAAGTCTCTTTTCTCCCCCTGCCGTGTTCTGTGCTGCTTGTGTTGCATGTGCTGGGTCCTGGTGAACAGCCGCTGCTGCTATTTCCCTCCCGGAGCCCTCGCTGTGTGCCTGTGTCCCTCAGCTGCATGAAGATGTGTGCTCTCTCCTGACTGGTTTATGCTGCAAGGTCGCAGAACTTGCCCCTCGCCACAGCCCCGTGGGGGCTCCAGAAGTTGCATGGATGAGAGGAGCGGCGGGGCTCATGGGCACTTAGCAGCGCCCTCAGCCCCCTCTAGTGCCTGTGGGGACAGACTTTCTGAAATATCTCAGCACGCACGCTGATGAGGAGTTGACCCGGAGACTGTTGGGGGTTGGCTTCCCCCAACCCCGACCTGTGGGCAGAGACCGTGCATGTGCAGCTGTGGCCCTGGAGCAGCTCAGACCTGGGGGTGTGAGTGGGCAGCAGCCGCCCGAGGCTGGGCAGTGTGTGGACAGCACCAGGTGGTCCTGTCCTTGGCTGTACACAGAAGAGGAGCTGCGTGTCCGCTGCTCTCTGGTCTCTTGTATATAGTTTGGCTGTTTCATGGTAATGACTATGATGTGGCAATGCCATCTGTCTTCCTCTGAGTGCCGCTGCTACCGCCTTAATGGTTTTTCCCTTTTCAAGCGTCTGCCGATTCCTCTCTCGTCAGGTTCGCGGACGCTGGAGCAGAGTGTCGGGGAATGGCTCGAGTCGATTGGGCTGCAGCAGTATGAGAGCAAGTTGCTTCTGAATGGCTTTGACGATGTCCGCTTCCTGGTAAGTGGCTGCAGGTCTCCTCGTCGGCAGGGTGCTGTCAGTGGGCACAGGCCCCACAGGAGTCTGCAACAGTACGTAGACCCGAATCCCAGGGAAAGCTCACTGCGGTCACTCAGACACCAGGAAGTCAGCCAGGTGGCGCGTGCCTCCTTTCCAAACCCTCCCTCTCCCTCCGCCCCAGAAACAGCTCCGGAGGGAACTCTCTTTGCAGATCCACATCCCAAGAAGGAGGGTCAAGGCTGGGCACCAGGAGTTTTATTTATTTTTCAAAACTTTGTTGTCAAGTGAGTTGTCGGTGAAGCAAAGAGCCTTGCCTCCGGCAGAAAGACCCCTTCCCTGCCGAGCCAAGGCCCAGTGCCTGGGCTAGAGTCCAGGTTTACACAACCCCATGTCCCCATGGCCTCAGAGATGGCCCAGAGAAAAGGCTGAGCTGATGACTTGGAGGGTTGGTTGCTTCTTTGAGAAGCTCTCTCACAAAACACAAGGGGCCAGAAAAGAAAAGAGAAACCAGGGTGTTTCCTCTGGATCCCTGCAGAATAGGGACCCAGTTAGTACCCTGGGCTTAGGATCTGGTGCACCCTTTGCCATTTCAGAAAGTAGCTCTGAGCAGGGTACCTGTCACTGTCCCTCTCTTGGAAGCCCTTCCCGCGGGATCTGTATGGGCCGGGCCTGCCCCTAGGCGCAGGCATTTGAGTCGCAGTTAATGATTGTGGTCGCTGACACTTCTTACTAGTGCTTACTGTGTGCTTGCGCAGTTCTTAGTGGCTTGCATAAATTGGCTCATTGAATCTTCCCTGCAGCCCTGGGGTGTGGGCTCGTATCAATCTCCGTTGCCCAGATGAAGGAAATGAGGTAGCATGGCTAGGTCGCTTGCTCAGGGTCACACTGTCAGTCATTGGCAGGGTAGAAATGTGCATCTAGTGCTCTGGATCTGGGGAGCAGGCTCTAACCACTGTGCTGTACAGCCTCTTTCTTCTCTGTGGATACAGGGATGGGGGCATAGCTACCTATGTGCTTTCTGTCACCTTCCAGCCTGAGTCATCTTGGTTTGAGTTAGTCCTGCCCTCTCTGAGGGGATCTCTCTCACCTGTGCCTGCCTTGCACGGCTGTCTCAGTTGAGGGGCCAGGGTCAGAGTCAGCACACAGCTTATACTGCTTGCACTCTGTTCTCCACTGGGGGCTTCTGAGGGTTTCTCACTGATGGGGTTGTGTTTGGGGCCTCCTAAATAGTGGCCTGCCCAGGGAGCTGGCTGAGACTTCCAGGAGAGACCCAACTCACCTAGAGCCATCTCCACCTCCAGGGAAGAAGATACTGCAGTCTGCCACAAAGCACCCCTCCCAAGCTGGCTTTGGCGCAGTTAATTTTCAGCTTTTAGAAATCTTAAGTTTTAAAACAGCAATTTTTTTTTCTTCTTAAAAGTTAAACTGAGTATATTTATGGTTCTTGTGACCTAACCCCTGACTCACCATGTTCCTCGGGGAAGGATGACAAACTCAGGATGGAGTGGGGGCGGGGAGGGGCTCAGGCAATGCATGGGGACCCAGGTTGGCCCTGGCTCAGAGCATTGAGGGGCCTTCCCTCTCTCAGCTTAACCCTTCCTTAGGCTGGCCACCGGATAGGCAAGTGAGGGGGGTCTTAGGGTGTTCCCTCCCTGTACTTTGAGATGCTAGAGGCTGAGCTGTTGCTTCCCATCCCTCCTTCTGCTGATTTGGGAAAGGACAAGGCTCCTACCCCTCAAATAGCCCAAGACTCCTTAGGACTGGGCCAGAGAGCAGCTGAGCAGGTGTTTGGAGAAGTGTGGCCTTGGGCCAGAGCTTCATGCATAGGGCAGGGCCTCCGTAAGATGCGTCTCTTCCTATGCTGGAAGGACCCTCATCGAGGGTGGCCTGCAGCTCAGTCCTTCTGGGGGCTCTGGCTGCTAGCGGGTGGAGTCTGTGCGAGAAGGGATGCCCAGCACGCCTGGCTGAGCCAGGACCTCAGATACCTGGAGTGGCCTGAGGAGCTGTGCACAGCATCCCGGGTAACTGCATGTGAATGGCCAGATGGGTTGTCAGGGAATTATGTTTTAGCAACCCGAAAAAAGGAAGATGGAAACATGGGAAGGGGAGCATTTCTGTTATTGAAATATTCCCTCATTGCATGTGGTATAATTTGCATCACATTAGCTACCATCTATCCCATGTCGTTAGGTTTTCAGTAGGCTACAGACATTTCCCTTGGTTCTGAAATGCCCTGGAGACTCTTCTACAAAATGCACAAGCAGCTTCCAGGAAGCCAGGCTGGACATGTCTTAGGAGCATCTGGAAACTGAGGCTGTTTCACAGTCAAGGTGTTGCTGTGGGATTTCCCTGTGACAGGGTCCCGAGGACTGTCATAGAAGTACAGGGCATATGTGCACATCACACGGCTCCCTCTCAGGGTGGAAGGAACTGGAACGTCCTGTGGCCTAATTGTCCTCTCTGCCGAATCCCTTCCGGATAGTTTCTGCCATGATGGTTTTTTAAAGAAGTCACCCATTCATTCTTTGCATTGTACGGCTGATTTAGAGCATTCTTTATATTGAGTCAAAATCTGTTTCCTGTGGTGTCTGTCTCTTGGTCCCAGGTTTACCTTTTGGGACCACACACAACATGTTTAAGCCCTTCAGAAAATTGAAGACCTCTGTCTTGGCCTCCAGGTGTCACATCCCCTTATTCTTCCTCCTGTGATGTGGTAATTGAGCTGGACAAGCAGGCAACGTGAACTATATCCACACTCTCTTGCTTACAGACAGAAAGGGCCTTTGATTTAGAGGGGCAGGGCCAGGGCAGTGGGGGCTGCCAGGTGCTCCCTAGGATGGGCAGAACCGACAACAGACACACAGGAAGAGAGGGAAAGTGGCTCCCACACCTGCCAGCCAGTCCGAAGGCCCACCACACTGCACCTGCATCGTAGTTGGTTCCATTTTCACCACAAATCTTATCCACAGGAAATGGGCTTTCTTAGGAGAAGGGAGGAAATGCAATGCATTTAATCAGCGCAGAAGGAAGGTAATTGGTGGTTGGCAAATGTGTAGCTCCGGGCATGCTAGAGCAGGTTTTGTATGTGAAGACTCAGCCTGACGCCCTTCACAGACATGTTGATTGAATATACGATGGCACTCCTGATGCTGGAGTGCCATGTAGACATTAAAAAAAACATGTTTTTAAAGAATTTCTAATGTGGGAAAATGTCCACCTTGTAGTGTTGAGTGAAGAAATTGACACAGAAATTCACAATATGATCTTAATTTCTGAAAAAGAAAACATGTATGCATAGGGGTGCAAGGGAGTAAGTCAGGATGTTTTCAGTGGCTAGCTCAAGAGGACTCCAGGTGGCTTCATGTTCCTTTTTGGAGTGTAATAGTTTCTCTCTGTTTCCCACCATGAATGGATGCGTAATCAAAAAAGCAAATAACGTAGGTGTCATAAGGAACTTGATGGTCCAGCTGGGATAACAAAGCACACAAGGCAATGAAAACAACACAGTGGCCAGTGTTCAGTGCAGCACAGGCTGGCAAGCGCCGCCAGCAGGGGGAGGAGGCCCAGATGCCAGAGATGCTGCTGCTGCCCAAGTGGCAGAGCCAAGTCCAACCTCGAACCTCTGGGTTCTGCTGTCTGTCACAGGGGTTTTGTAGAGACGGTGGGACCTGGAAAGATCACAGAGAAAGGAGAGGCCTGCAGGGGGCCAGCCTGCCTGTGGTAAGTGAGGAGGCTGCTGGGGGGCATTGAAGGGCAGGGCCCTGACAGCTAGGCGGGAGAGGTGGCTGGGCCTGACCTCAGGGCTCTTAAAAGCCACGTGTGGGAGAGTCCCAAGATCTCTGAGTCCTGAGCATGGGGGGATGATCTGTTAGTGCCCCACACCAGGCAAAAAGCCCCTTGAGTGAGGCACACTTTAGCCATCCAGGGCGTGGTTGAGGGCCCGTGTGTGGCAGGCTGTCATAGCTTGGGGCAGTGGACAAATGGAAGATGGGAATGAGGCTGGCAGCCGGCTCAGGATGGACTAGAATTGTACGCTGCATCAGCCAGGCGGGATGGGAGGCCTCCTGTTCCTCCCGTCAATTTCTTTCTCTGCAGGTTCCTGCCACGTGGCAGATAGGCCCCTGCTGTCTTCCTGTCTGTTTCTGAGGCGGTGCCAGCTTGTTCCCACGTGTTGGAGAGAGATGACAGGTGAAGAGAGGCCAAAGGCATAAGCTGGGGCCAGGAGGTTCTTCTTTATTGGCTTTTATGAAACTTTCCAACCAGGTCACCAAGCCCCTGAGGTTCCCTTCCTGTTCCTGTCACCTGGATTTGCACCTCACTCTCCAGCCCTCTAAACCAGCTTCACATGAACAGTGGGGCTTGTCATTGCCCCCTTTTGCCTTCTTCCCCCCGAGGCCCAAGAGGCCACTGCCAGCCTAAGCAAGCTGCCACTGAGCACCATTATCAGAATGGTCATGGCCGAGAGGCCCTCTCCCCAGCCTCTGCCTCCACCCCCGTCCCGTCTCCCTGCACAGCACTTTGTGAGCTGACTGCTGTACTGGCATTGCTTGCCCAGTTGAAGCAGAGCCTTAAATAGGAGGATCAGTGGAGCTGAGGCTTGGAAAGGAAAGGAATCCTCTTAGACAAGTGTGAATCCTGCCTCCTGGACTGGCTAAATGCTGTAGTCACTTAAGAATGTCATTCCTCAATATCCCAGGAGTTAATGCTGCACCAGGGTCTCCCTTGGTCTCGGGAGCCTGGCTGAGGGCACCCCTTATAGCAAGCGTGACGAGGGGCAGGCTTACTTGGGGCCTGTTCCTAGCGAGTGCACCTCTTGCTCCCCTTCCCTTTCACTGCCTGACCGCAGCACCTGCATTCCTGGCAAGGGCAGCTGGAATCGCTCGGGAGCCCCCTCTGACTGCCCCAGGCCCTGTTCTGGCCTTCTCCAGTCCCCTACACAGTAGAAGGAACTTTGAGAACTTTCCGAATGTCTGTTTTCATGCCTGCTAATTTGACCAACT